AGGCAGCCTCCCAACTATATATATACATTCCAACAAGACGTGGCGGGCGAGAATTAGAGGGTGCCTTGGGCCGGCCTGACACGGAGCGAGGGACCTTAAGGAGCACACGGCCCTCCGCGAGGACCCCGCCGTGACAGGCAGTTTGCCCTGTCTTGCTTGCCATGACTTGATGTATTAAACTAGATGTTAAGTTGCAGGAGGCTGCCCATTAAGTGCCCTGATGCCTACGGCATTATACACGGCTCCAGCCTTCCCTATACTGTGTCCCATGACTCAGATAGCATCCAAAATACTAGCCTCCACTGGCCCAAACTACCCACTATTACTTTTCTCAGCTCCCTTGCTAAGTCATACCAGTCGGCCTCTGGCTCAAATGTGGCCTCAGGCATCCATAGAGTTACCTTGACCATTATGTCCCCTCCTTGGGGCTTCAGGTCAGGCCCTCATACTTGGGCCTCCCCCTTATGCCCTCTCACTGGGGCAGGTGAAATGCGGCCCACAGGCCAGATGCGGCCCACCAGGCCATTATATCTGGCTTGCGGGGCCCCTAAAAAATTTAGAAAATTAATAATTATCTGCTTTTGGCTGCCTGTCATGTGGCCCTCGATGGCTTGCGAAAACTCAGTAAGTAGCCCTCTGCCCAAAATAATTGCCCATCCCTGCACTAGGGCCTTCACTTATGTTATCAATCTCTTTTGGGCCTGGCCTGTGCACAGCCCTTCAGGTCACCTCAGCAGACCCTACTTTGCACCTCTATGCGCAGTCCTTCAGGGCGCCACTGTGAACCCTACTCTGTGCAGCCTCTACACACATTTAGGCCCCCTTACTGGAGCCACTCTTCTGCCCCTCACTGGGGCCTCCAGGGTCTTATACCCCATGGGGCTCAAGTGTCCATAGAAGTGTTGGCCCCCTTCCTATCCCTACTGCCTGGTTACCCAACAGGTTGTGGAGTCTGGGGGTAAAAGACACCCCATACTCGCCTTTCACTAGGGAGCCAACTGGTGTGGCATTTCCTGGGGACCACCCCTCCATAGACAGCCCCACTATGCCATACTACCCTAGCAGGGTGTGGTTTTACATCATTCCCCGGGACCAGGAGCCTTCCCCATAGCTCCTGCCCTGTACCTCCAAGTTGTTGTGAGCAGCAGCTCCAGCTAGGCAATGTTTTCCCTATAGTTGCAGCCAGCAAACCTGCTAGCTCAGCCCTGAGGGCCTGGGTTAATATGGAGGCTGATCAGCCCCCTCCTCCAATCCCAAGGCCCTCCTGCGGTCATGTAACTGCCTCATTAAACTGGCTCATACCTGCTGCCTGCCCTGCTGCCTGTTCTGACCCTTAAAGACACTGAAGGTGCTCTGCCACACAAAGTATGTCTGTATATACTGTAAGTGTGCATGTGTGTGCACATGTGTGCGTGCCTCTACTTCTATCAGTTATATCTGTAGGCATGTAATCTCTCTCAGAATTTGGTTTAAAAATGATCCATTGTAGTATGTTCATAACCATGCGTGTTCAAATCACTTACATCAGGGGTTTTCAACCTTTTTTAATTAGTGTACCCCTGGAGGCTGGACATGGAGTGGGGGTGTGGTGCATGGCCAGGTGCAGAGTGGCGGCATCATGGGGTGGTGGGTGGCAGTGGTTGCCACTGTGTGCAAGCTTCCTCTCCTCCCCGTGCGTCTGGTCGGCCCTGTGTGGCCTGCAGAGGGATACCACTGTCCTTGCCCGCTGCCTCCCCCCGGCCCTGCTCCTGGGAGCTGGCAGTGCGGGGTGGTTGGTGGTGGTGCTCTGTCCCTGCCCATCCACACTTAGCCCCTAGGGCCTTCCAAAGTACCTCCGGGGGTACACACGCCCCCGGTTGACAACCCCTGACTTACATATGTCTTGCATTCTACACACAAAACAATGTGCAGTTGATTTGTATTCACTAAAGACTTTGTACCATCAAACAATTGTGTGCATTGGTAATTGCACATGATACCTATGTGGAAGTAGCCTGATACTGGCCTGTCTTGTAGATAGAATTTAGGAATTCTAACCTGGACTGTTAGAGCTCTGGTGACAATGAACTGTCAGTTGATGTAAAGCTGGTATTGTCAACTAGAAAGGAAAGTTATTCCTATGGTTAGATTGTTGGCCTGAGATTTGGGAAACCCTGGCTCAGTTTTACTGCTCTGCTATGAACAGCTTGAGTGAACTTGAGCAGGTTGCTTAATCTGTGAAATAAGTAATCTGTGAAATAAGTAGAACAGCTCTTAACTGCTGCCTAGGTGTTGTTAAATATACCAAGGTGCTCAGATTATAAAGTAATGAGGGCCATGTAAGTACCTGAGACAGACAGCAACTATTTGCAGTGCTGCTTCCAAAGAGTATGTATCCTGAATTGGTGTATGGTCCCATTAAGCTGCATAACATTTATCCCAAGATGGACCCTCATAGTTAGCGTGCTTTAAGAGGTGGGGACTGAAGCTGTGAGTGTGTCACTTGTTCCTCCAATGCCAAGCATATCTCTGCGGGCCGAATCTGGCACATTAAGTTTTCTTATACATTAACTTAGACTTTTGACTTTGTTACTGAAAATTATTTAAGTCAGCCTATTTTATGAATTAGGATGTATTGTCTGGACTGAATCCTCTTTAATTTTTGTTCGGATAGCGGTAGATGTCAAATCAAGTTACTATAATTTTTTAAAAATTTGAAAGCAAACATTCATAACAATATTTAATTAATTCTTAAGTCTCAGTTTTTGATACTTTAATATTGTAGGCTGAGAAACTGGAAGAAAAAAGAAGGCAAGAAGAACAACAAAGAAGAGAAATGTTTTATGAAGATCGGAGTCTGTAAGTAAAACTTAAATCTGACTACTTAAGAATGTGAAAGGGGTCACAGTTATTTCATAAACATAGGTGGCATCTACAAATATAGATGATAAGCAGATGGGGAGATTCCTCCAGTGATGATAACTGACCATGGCTCCAGGCTGTTGTGCTATCGTTCTGAAATTGACCCTTTGATGATCAGACTTCAGGGGCTAGAATGATTATATCCTCTACCTTCTAATGCATTGGTTATCAATCTCATTAGGCTTAAGGCACCCTCAGAAAATGCCAGCTCATAGTTTTCACTAACTTTTCGACTACAGAAAAATAATAGAGCAATTTTTTCTGTTGCAAAGAACTCAGAAAGACCACAAAAAGGAAGAATGTTTTAAACACTATGGATTCTTATTTGGAATCTTTGGGTGCATCGACATGTGCAGTTAATGTGACTGAATAAACTCTGGCACAGTCTGAGGTGCAGTAAACTAATCTGAATATCACCATCTATATATGCATTTAAATCACAGTAATTTACTCCGCCTTCAGATAGTAATTGTGTCTGATGGGACTATCTAAGAGCACAATAAATTGGTGTACATTGCCATGCACATGTATACAGTGATGCTTTACTGTGCAACAAATTAGTTTACTGTGCAGTAAAGTGCACGTGCAGACATGTCCTCTGGGTTTATCTTGTGAATCTTGTTTGCACACCTAACAGTTAACATTTCATTGCAGCCTGCAGCACCCTTAACAGGATTTCAAGGCATCCCAGGATGCCACAGTACCGTAGTTGAGAATCACTATTCTAAATGGATTGCCTTTGATTTCTGACTCTTGGAATTTTCAGTGTTTGAGCTGTGAGACAATAGTTTTGATATTATGCTATTCTTAGTTTCAATAACTAAATACATTTTTGCTTAGAAGCTCACCAGATCAGTATAGAATAAAGAACTTATAAGAAAAAGTCAAAAAGAAAAAGCTGTTGGGTAATTCTATAAAAAAAAAAAAGAAAGAAAGAGAGGGGAGAATAGGTAACCAAGAAAAACAGCTGCAAGAATTGAAACGCTTTTTTATTCCTTTGTGGACAAAATCTCATGACAGAATATTATAGAGGTACCATGGTGATAGTTGCCTTACAAATGCATTGCTCAGTGGAGAACATAATTTAATGGTTTATTATAGGAACAGCAAAGCTTAAAAAATTAATGCTGTTATTCTAACATCTTTTTTCATTTGCAACAGCTTGCTCAGTGCCTACTCCTTGATTTCTCAAGCCTGATTTTAGTGCAGGATTGATCAGTCTTTTGTTGTTCTGAAAGTTCAAACTCTCTGTAGCTGTCTTGTTTATGTGACAATGGAAAAGACTCTTTCCATATGTTGGGATAATGGATTTTGTTCACAATTTTACACTTGGTACTTTAGAATCTTTGTAACTTTTGCTTATTATATAAAAATGTGATTTTTTTTTTTTTTTTTTTTTTTTTTAAATATAGGAAAAAATGTTGACCTCCAACAGAAATAATGTTGAGGTTGGTAAGAGGATTAAACAAAGTTGTCTTCATGGAGTTTTCTTCAAATACTACTCTCTGAGGAAGCCACTGAGGTAGTAGCACTGGGTGGCAATAAGCCATTGTGCTATTATTCCAGCATTTTAACACAATGTCTTTACTGAACATGGGGGCAAAGTGTATCTTATTTTTGGGCCTAAATTAATCTTAAATTCCTACCCCATCCTCACTGCAGAGCAGCTCCATGACTCCCCTTGATTTCATGTATATAGTTGAGGAATCTCTTACCTCAATTTTTTCCTTTCATTGCAAAATCTAATAGGATTAGATTTTTTTTTAGCAATTCTTCCTTTTATCCCTACATTTCCTGAACTCTATGACATAGCTTTCTTTGATCAATCTCTTTTCCCATTAATTTTAAGCTCCCTGATTATTCCATATCTTTTTTTTTTTTGAGGGAATTATTCATCCAACAAGGTCTAAAACCAACACTATAAGTGGTGAGGAGGTATAGACTGTGAATTTTGTCCCAGACTTGGCTTTTCCAGTGAGCCCAAGTTGGCCCTTTCTTTTTTAATAGCTCACAAATGATTTACAGATAAAAATTACTATTTTTTTACTTTAAAATCATTAATATTTAAAAAAACTCTTCCTTTAAAAGGTGAAATCAAAGCAAAAATAGTCGTGGCTGTCAAAGGAAACCCTGCATTGTAGATATGAATATCAGAGAAACTTGAGCTATGTGAGCTAAGGCATAGCAGGATAGTGCTGCATCTGGGGCAACCATGATGCACAGTTGTCTGCTGCTGTGCTGATGATAGTGGCACATGCGGCTGCTGCTGCAGCCACAACTATTTTTGCATTCCCTTCCTTCCCTCTCCCACTGCAAAATCAGTGTCCAGGGCTGCTGCCCTGATTACTGCCCCACCCCTACAGTTATGCTACTGTACACGAGATGTGCATTACCAGTTGATTCAGTCTAAGTTGGTATCTCACCAATAACTGAGAATCTAAAAGTTAGAAAAATGTATCATAAGTTAGGGGTGCAGAAATGGAAAGAAAAGATAGGAAAAATGAGCAAGGTTCATGGGAGAGAACCATTTTTAAATACTTAACTACATTATTTTGGGTAACAAAGAAAATGCAGTAACTTTTGAACTTAAGAGCAAGGAAATGGCACACCTGCAGAATGCAGAATTCTCTAGAAATGATGGAAACTCAAAAAAAAAAAAAAAACCTGTAGGAAAACCTTACATCTGAAAACAGTCTCGAGTCTGAATGTGCATGTGTATGAGAGACTTGGAATGGGAAATTATAAGATTCAGTTTAAAAACTGAGGGTGAACTGTTTGAAATGGTTAAAATAATGCTGGTTGATGGTGAGGGATCATACTTTTCTCAAAGTCTCCTGTACTCCAAATTATCACATGGATCAGAAAGAGTTTAGTTCATGTGGCGCCAGAGTTAAAATACTGCACAGTGTCTGTTATTACCAATGTACAAAGAAAAGAAAATCGGGTAGTGTTCTTTGCTAGAAGGCAGGGTTCACATTATCCAGTGAGAAGTCATAAAAAAATCTATGAAAGACTTTCAGAATATCAAAGTAGTCAGTACAAAGATTATTCTTGGAAATGGAGAAATATTTAGAGGTCTGTTGGTGGCCAAAGTATCAATAGTGAACTTAAACAAATTCAGGCAGCAGTTAACTAGTATATTATTCTGTTGAATAGATTCTTGGATATTGGAGGGGAAAGGGGGTGGAAACATAGGAAGATGTAGCCTCTCCCGCTGGATTGGCTCCATTTGGAGCCAATCCTCCATGCTGCCAATCCAACAGCTAACATATGTTGGATCAGGAGGATCAGTCTAACTCATGGTGATTTCTATGAATTGCCATGAGTTACACCCAGGAGCTGCACTTCTGTCTCTGCCTTAAGTGAAGGAGATTGCTGATGTAAAGATTACATTTTCTGGATGTGTGAATCACCTATACATTCCCTTCAGTAGAAGTTTGGAATCATGGAATATTTTGACTGGAAAAAATAGGCTTCTTCCTATACAAGTTGTTAGCTATGTAAAGTGAAGTGCATACATTCAAGTTATCGGTTCTGTTGAATGCTATCTTCTGAGCATTACCAATGTACTTGCTGCAGTCATTTACTTCAACAAGATGGTGAGACTCAGTCAAAGTCGAGAAGGCTAAAAGATTACCTCATGTCTTTGACCACATTGGACAGTGTAGAAGTCTTTCTGAAAGTTGAGGAGGGGAGCTTGATTCTTGAAATTATGTTGGTAACAGATGTTGGGTTGAAATTTTATCTGGCTTGAAATATAGCATTTTAGAGACAACTGGAATACTATAGCTTCAGAGGCACAACTCATTGGAAACCCCAGACTCTTCTTTCAAATCTGCGTACAGTAATAGATTGCTGTTGTTCATGGACTCAGATGAAATTTTCATTGCACTGAGAGAGGAATGCTAATTTTTTTTCTGCCTCCTGGCTTGCCCCATGCTGAGCATCCTTGTGCCCCAGCCAACCCTCCACAGCATGTGGAGTTGGGAGGAGCAGCCCTGGGATGGCAGGCTGAACCTTGGAGCCGCCTGCCAGCCCAGGGTTGCTCTGACCCAGCTAAATGTGCTGTGCTCTCAGGTGCATATTCAAATGGCAATAAACTCCGGAGTTTATTGTTCCTGGGTGCACATTCAAATGGCATGCCTGGAAGCAATAGTCTCCAGAGTTTATTGCTTTGCATTAATTACATGTGTAGCCATGACCACTGAAGATAAAATATCAACATCTTGAAAAGGAAGCATTCTTTTTGGATATTCAAATACTAATTAATGAACACTTGTTACTATTTCAAAAGAAGCATAGCAGGACAACATCATTGTTGTAAAAATATTAATTTGAATCACGGGATATTTTCATGCAAGTGGCTGTGTATCAGAAGGTTTATCTGGGTCTAGCGAGTCCTTTAATATAGCATTAGCACAAAATAAAAATAGCCATGACCCTACATTTTAGTAGCTGCAAAGGGCCGCGTAGACTTTGTTCTCCCCCTCCAACTGACTTAAGAGCATGATCTGGGCCTGACAATATCTCCTGACAAATGGCTTCTGCCATTTTTAGGAGCCCTTTTCTACAGCTGTTTCCCCTTTGAATGGGGAACAAGTTCCATATGGCTTTCTGCATCTTTGACCAGAAGAAATTGGAAGCCTTCTACAATATAGACTCTATACATTCATCTACATCTGATGAAATGAACTTGGGCTCACAAAACCCTAGACATCTTTCACTTAGTTTATAAGCTACTGTAACAAATCCCTGCAGTGTCAGGCACAATCACTACAGCCAATGAGGGATTACTTTATATTGAGTATCCTAGGGGTTAGGGTCACAGGCCAACAGGCCAACGGGAAAGGACAAGTACAGGTAAATAGGAATTCACAGTATAACAACATACACTTAGGGCACATCCAGATGAGTGTGCATGTGCCTCTTGCAGCATC